TTTTCACACCTTTTGAAAATATATGGATAATTTAAGAAACATGAAAAATACGTTATTTTTGGCCATTTTATAGCAAAAGGCATTGCCTATAGCCCATGGTTTTAAACCATTTGGACCAAAATAGTTTTAACTGATTTTGGACCAAAATGGGTCAAAACCATGGGTATAGTCCATGCTTTTTGGCCAAAAACACCCAGTTTGCAAGTCTCATTAATAATTCATATTTTTTCAAAAGGTGTGAAAATGGTCCAAAATTGGTGAAAACCATTTGCTATTGCTGATGCTTTTTGCTTAAAAATGGTGAAAAATGACCTAAATTTCTTCGTTGCAAAATTATGCATATGCTTTCAAAAAGAATAATAGATTTTATTAGTTGATGTTAATTTCATTGTTTTATTTGATATTAACAATAAATTCTTGTGTTACAGTTTGTTTAAAATTCCTGTTTCTTTGTAGTTTTATAGAAATCACTGACTTGTCCTGAAATCCCTTATTTCTTACAGTGCATGCTCGAGAAAATAATTACCTCAGTCCCATCTGAAAGTTATAAAAACAAAGGGCCACCAAGAAGAAAATAATAATATCATATTAAACAAATTCAAGATATTATAAAGTTTTTTCATCATTCCTCCAAAAATTCATTGATAATTCAATATCATCAAAATCCTTGTGCTCCTGATAATTTTCTAATCTGTTCGTATGACAACCAAAACGTCAGTGACCAAGGTGCCTATGACAAATAAAAACATCACAAACGTTAGCATGGAAACAAAGATGTAACGGAAACACTGGAGAATTCTCCTTCAAAAGAATATTTCAGCTGATGTTATCGCCTCCTCGGCTCGAGCGTAATGTTTTCCCATTTCAGACCACATGCCATTCCTTTGAGAATAATATTCTTTGTTTGAGTTGTATCCATATTCATGTGTCTTCTCATCTGCAACCGTTAAATGAAGAAATGATACTCTAGGGAATGACATGTGGTCTCAAATGGGAAAACATTACGTCAAAGCCAAGAAGGTCTATTGGATAAAGCGGAGCAAAAGCAAAAAGTCCTGAATGTGTGTTGTAAGTGGCAAGCAATCAGTTATTTGCCCGTGTTGAAGGCTATTTTACTAAAAGGCTTGCTTAAAAGATGTGCAATGGTGGATTGATGAAAGGGAGTGGATTGGCTGGCTAGGCATCCCTCTTTTGAGTTTAAACAGTTTAATAATGAAAGTCATATCTGTCTTTGAAGGAAGCAGCCACAGTCTTAATTATCCAAAAACCAAACAATTATTTTAGTCCCCCCTCCCCCTCCCCCTACTCCTCCCCCCTCCCACACTAAGGTTATGGTTTAAGGCTATACTTGGCATTGGTAGTTCCTTCAGCTAGTAGCTGATGATCCAGGAAGCAGTGCTCCGCAAATGATAGAAAAGTTAAAACAGAAGGTGTGATCTTGTTTTGGGAACAAAATCTCAACAATCACACTCTTGTAAAAACCCAAGTTTTGCAGCTAAAGGAAGGAAAAAACAACAAGAAAACAAGTGTCTGCTCACCATTCTAGTCCATGTCGGTAACCATCCCTTGTAGAGCGAAAAAAATCCTTCTTGTTTTACCTTAAAAATGGGATAATTTTACAATTACTTATGATCTTCTTTGGCTTCATCTATTATCTATGCCTTTGTTTCTACCTTTTTACCATACACTGACGCTAGTTTATGTTAGGATCTTGCTCCCCACGTCCCAGTCCCCTATTCTCTGTTTGCTTTGTATTCTGAGAGTTTACATTTTTCAGAAGTAGAATTTCAAAATTTATTGGTACCCTTAAACAACCTCTGGGCTGATCAAAGTCAGGGCATGGCTAACTCACAGATTGAACCCTGAAACGACCTCTGGGCTGATCTACGTCAAACTCCTAATGATGTTGAGTCTGGGAATCAAACCTGAGACTCCAGAAGTGAGAGACAAAAGGGGTACCAGGGGAGTGAAATGAAAAAAGACAAGGTGGTCATGTTTGATGATATAACAAAATAATTCATTGACAATTCTTTTGTTAAATTCAAAGATGGTGGCGATGACGGCATGTGCAAACAAAGAATCACCTGGTCCACACTAGCAGTGGAATCAGAATCGCAAGAAACATACCCACTCAGTATTGCATTTATCACCTAGGTGTGATAAAATACAAGCACTGTTAACGAGCAGAACACTACTGAGTCTCCTATGTTGCTTCTGATTATGACGCTCATGTAAACCAGTTTTTAAATGAGACTAGTAAAGCCATGTGACTTACAGCCCGCTGAAAACAGTCGATAGCACCCTTGTATCCTGAAGGGTTATTCATTATTCTTGTCTTGATGACGTCAGCAGGTGTACTGATGGTTGCTGCTACTAGTCCTGAGCATGCGCTGTAAAGCCAAGAAAAATTAAAAATGTTTTGAAAGAAGAAAAAGAGTGAGAAGATTGTTGTTTTTTACAAACAAGTGGGAATTATTATTAAGGAATATAAAATGCACACGCATGTCTCTGTACTGTGATATACAATGGGAGCTGCAGAGCACGAGAGAACCAAGGAACAAGAGGTGTAATCGAGTTATTCTCTTGCTTTTCGAATGCTCTACAGCTTCCACAGTGTTTATATCACAGAACAGAGACATAGGCAGCTGTTTTATATTGCTTTTATAAAATATTTTTGCGCGAGCGTGTCTGTCCTCTGATATATACATGGTAGCCAGCCAATCAACGTGCATAATATATCTCAAATACTTTATAATTCCCAATACAACCACCCCTCGTGCTGAGAATCATTGGTTGGGCAGGCGGTCAGCTGGTTTCAAGAAACTTCGACAAGGCTGTTGTCTTTTTAGTTCTCGGAAACAACTTGCGACACTTCTTGAAAGAAAGTACAAAAAAGAAAAAAGAAAAAAAGAAAGAAGAGTTCCTGTTACCTCGACATGGTGTGTGTTATCCAGTTATCGTGAAGCTTAGTGTGTTTGAGCAGATTGTGTTTCACTGTGTCATACGTTGTTAAATCTAAAAATAAGGAGTAGAAGAAGATGTTTAGAAATGATTACGCAAATATTTGACCCTGAGGAATGGGAACAACACGAGAACGCATTCATGAGCATGAATATTCAAACACCACACACCTCTTAGTCGAGTCGTAAGAAATTCACCCTGAACAAGAGTGCAATATCGTCATGCAATAATGCAATGTATATCATTATATGCGCATGCAAAACATAGACGTGTCAGTGGTTCAGTGTAAATGACTTCACTGTTTTCAAAAGCCTGCGTCTTCAATTGCCCACACTAATATGATAGGCCTCTGTTTTCAAATATTTCCACTTTGCAAAGCATTTTCAAATGTACAGCTGTATGCGTTTCCAATGAACATATTCAGCGTGCTTAATTGGCACCACAGGGAAGCCATTTTCTCTGCAGATGATGATAACAGTATTGTATTACTTACCTCCCATGTTGACCAAAGCTGCTCTCTGCACATTAGGTAACCATCCTTTCCATAAACCTTTGATACCATAATGTTTGACGATATTACGAAAGGCATGAGCTGTACCATGTACCCTGGGAAAGAATGAAAAAAAGGAAGTTGAGAGTGAATGAATTAAAGGATAGATGAATGAATGAAAGAATAAAAGAATGAATGGATGGATGATTGTATGAATGGATGCATGGATGGAAGATTGTATGAATGGATGAATGGATGGATAGATAGATGGAGGGATGGATGGAAAGATAAACA